TTTCTAGAAAAATAAGGTGATTCTGTTTCCTTTTTAGAAAGGAAACCAAGATGCATGACATATTCCATGTTAGAATATTCACATTTTACCCTATAACCTTTTTTTTTACTGCTTTTGAAAGGCACAGGTGTCTTATATTAAGACCATAACCACATAGTATCAGCAGTAATAAATTAAATATATATGTATATATCAAACGCAGTAGTCAGTTAGGATGCTATTTTCCTATATTAGCCAATGCAGATAAGTGCTACATAGAACATAAATAACTAAATCACACAAAACAGGCTACTAGAAATGTTGGAAGAGAGATGAGATTCTATTTGGATAGTGTTTCTGAGCACTACAGCATACAGCAGAGTACATCACATTCACAGAGCAAGTAGATGTTTTGTTTCAATCAGCAGAAAACATTAACTTTATCTACTATGTCCCTTTACGAAAGCCTGTGCCTTCCTGTAATCAGCTCAACGTGATCTTTGAGAAGCACACCTTACAAAAGCAATTATTATTGATTTAATCAAGATAACATTTATTAATAAGCCATCTAACCTTCTGCTGTCAATCCAGGCAAGAATACAGGATATTACTAAAGCAAATACAAGCAGAGGTTTCTTCTTTGCTGACTTTCTATTTATTTCTCTTTCTTGTATTTTTAATCTTATAATCTTTCTTTTGGTGAGATAGTAGGGTTTTTTTTGTTTGGTTGGTTGCTTTTTTGTTTGAGAAATAATAGTTTTGTGTCATCCAGCAAAAAACATATCATAGGCTAGGGAACACAAAAATCTGAGTTTCTTATTCTGAGAACAAGAGTCAAATGTCTTCACAACAGATGGAGTGTTATAAACTGAAGTTCTACAATCTTAATTAATCAATTTGGTGTGTTCACTTTGAAAGAACTACTGAAGTTTTTTTTTTCCTCTGGGTCTTTTGTAATTTTCTTTATGTGTTCTATACCTAGATGAGATGTGCAGTATGCTTTGATGTATGTTTTTATTTCTTGTTACAATGCAGATAATATGTTGCAGTTGATGAAGCTGAAGTATGCCTTAAAGTGAATGACTGTCATCAGCCTTCTAAGAAGATACATTAAGTACAGCTGTGAAGAGTATTTTTTCCTGGTATTCTAAATTAGTATGAGGGACAAGACAATATAGACTTTGGCTGCAACAATTCGACATCTTTCTAGTGAAACACTGCCAACAGAGAACAGAAAGTAAACCAGATACCAAATAGAATTATCCTGGTCACTTTCTCAGGACACGCCTGGAGAAGAGGACCATGATGATTGTTTCAGAAGATTGGAGACAAAAAGTGAAATTGGTCAATTTCCAACTCCTACCTATGAGCAAAATGCCTTCTCTGTTTTATTCTAAAACGATTATGGTTTTTTGCTGAGTGGCAGATTTTCTGCTAATGTACAAGTTCAACGCTTGGTTAAACAGAAATGTATTTCGTCAGAGAGATTAACACTAATATATGTAAGAGATGAGTTAACCATTCTTATTCTTATAGAAATTGAGTTTAAATTTGTCATTTTAGGCACTCTGGCATCTTTATGGAAAAAGTTGATTTGGTAATAAAGCTATTTAGCTATGTTTGAGATGTAATAACTGACGAAATCCAAAGAGAAAGCTTTTTAAAAATTTCCTTAATAGCAAAAAGACTTTTTAGTTAATGCCTGCATTCTGTCAGGATAAATGTTCTTCAGTATGTTCCTACCTTCCTTCTTGAAAAGAAGCCAAAAGTAAGATGACATTGTTTGCTTTTATAAAAAAGAGATTATTAAAGTGAAGGGACAATTTTGAAGTGCCACAGAAAGACTTTAAGAGATTAAGGGTATGATTCAACTCTATATGAATACTCCTAAACTTAGATGTCTACTTGGAAGCAGACTGTAAATTGGAAAGCAGGAATCCAAGCAGTGGGATTTGAAGATCTATTCAACTGTTCACCGATGATATGATAGAGCAGAATCAGATTGTGCAAGCAGTAAGAACTGCATACTGAAAAGATTAGCCAGTATATTAAGAGAGAATTAAAAATGCAAATGAATAACAGAAGGAAATAAGGATGAAACTTCTTTCAAGTAATTTCTTGAGCGTAGGTTTTGGATCCCATATTATGTTGCTTCGGACATGTCAAACTCAAGCAGACAAGTTAAAGTTGCAGTATTGTCAGTCCTCTCCTGCCGGCAGCTGCCAGAGCCAGCAGCATCTGGGCAGCACACAGACAACAGTGCCTCCAGCTGTGTCTGCCATCAGGCACTGCAAAGCAGGGAAGGGGTATGGCACTGCTTAAGGAGGCTGGAGATGGACTGACTGGGCAGATACATGAGTGATCTGCAGACTTCACACAAGAGACCCAAAACATCTGTAGGCTGAGCTTGATGTGGAGTTTGTATCGCAAGGAGCTGAATCGCCCCTTTCAAAGCTCAACACGGCCCACCAACAATGAACATAAATGTTCAGTAGTGCTGTTCTGTTTTGTGTCATATTTGAACTGCCTTCCTCTCTGTTAAATCGGCAAAGTCAGCTCAATAAGAAGAGCATAAGAATTAGCATGGAAAGGCCATGGCTACAAGGAAGTGCACCAAGAATAGCCTTATTTCTTTTACCCATGGCAACTATAAATAACTGCTACTTCTCAGATACATTGTACTATGTGTCATGAAAACTAATTTTGAAAAAGCAATGACTAACTGACTAATCTTTCTGTAAGGACAAAAAATATTGGAAAGTTCGCTATGTGTCTGAACCAAAAAAGACCTTGACCTTTAGTAGCTGAATGGGTGTTTATTAAGCTATAAACAACTACTGATTATCTGTACTGATCACTAAAAATTTTTTCACTCATTTGAAATAAGCCCTGCAATGCCATAAATTGACCTTGGCACTAGGTAGAGATAAGAGCAAAACTAAACGTGCATATGTTTTGTTTTGGTTTTCTCTATTATTTAGCTTTAAGTATAATGACTTGTGTATTAATTAGACTTCTCTGACAGTGTTTTTATTTTCATGGATGTCTGATCCTGGAAAAGCCTTGTCTATTAACCTTAGCCAGAAGGTTGCTGAGTTGGAGGCTGACAAACAAGGAAACTTTCTTTTTCATAGTGAAAATCTGCAGCAAAGTGAAGCAAAAGACCACAAATACGGAACCCAGGTAGGTGAATCATAGAGTGAGCTGCATGTATTTTACAGACAGGTAAGCATACGACGAGATTTTCAGGACAACGAACACACAACAAATACAATTTAGTATTTAACTAAGGTATCCAGTAGTATATTATCCTGGACTCATCAATTTGAAACAACAAATTAAAAAATTACTGTCATTTGCTCTGCTAAATTAAAGAGAGGCTTGACTTTTCCACCACATGCATGAATAGCTTCTTTCAGATCCACTGCCTTCTTTCTTTCCTCTCTTCTGAAATATTCTGTACCAAATCTCCTAATCAAGAATTTTGTAAAAAGATGAAAAAACAAGAACAAAGAAAAAGCACTTGTCAGAAGAAGAAAATCATGGTTAATGCCAGTATTCCAGACCTTTTACCATAAATACTTCCTACATCTGAGTTTATTTCTGTGGATCTTCAAATTAACTTGTTGCCTAAGAAACAAAATATGAATGTTGCATCTTTGTCAAATTGCTCTATGTGAATTTTGTTGCCTGTGGTAAAATAAATTTGTCATTAGACTCCACATTTTCAAACTGATAAATAAAAGATCTTTCTGTACTGAATGATGTTAATAGCTGTCCCATGGGCAGGACAACTGTATTTAATTACATAATGCAATTTGCAAAAGGTTTGCAAATCAGAAGACTGCCTACATTAATTTGATATCCAATTGTTTTTGCTTCACAAGCTGTAGTCAATACCTCCACATGGTCTATTTTCAGTGTAACTAACCTTACCTACCTACTAATTTTAAAGTTCTCCTGAGTTTTTTTCCAGTATATAAGCAATACAAAAAATGACTTTGAAAGCTCATTCTTAAGATTTTATAATTATGATCTAAAAATTCATTTTTTAAAATTCATTTAAAAAAATTTTTTTTTTGGATTTTTATATGCTCCTTGTGCATCTACTACTGTGCATCAACTAGATGAAGTATATTACGTATATTATGAGGTATATTGAGGCAAAAAGCACAGATACAGGTTGGGCGGAGAACGGCTTGAGAGCAGCCCTGAGGAGGATTTGGGAGTGCTTATTGATGAAAGATTCAACATAAGCCATGTGCACCTGCAGCCCAGAAGGCCAACCATATCCTGGGTAGCACCAAGAGAAGTGTGACCAGCAGGCCAAAGGAGGCGATTCTGCCCTTCTACTCTGCTCCTGTGGGATCCAGCCTGGAGAACTGCGTCCAGTTGTGGGGCCCCCAGCACAAGAAGGACATGGAGCTGTTGGACCAGGTCCAAAGGAGGTCCTCAAAGATGATCAGTGGGCTGGAGCATCTCCCTTATGGGAATAGGCTGAGACAGATGGGGCTCTTCAGACTAGAGAAGACTCTGGGGAAACCTTATAGTGACCTTCCAGTACCCGAAGGGGGTCTGCAGAAAAGCTGGAGAGGGACTTTTTATAGGGGCATGTAGCAACAGGAGGAGGGGGAATGGTTTTAATGTGGAAGAGGGTAGATTCAGACTAGATATTAGGAAGAAGTTCTTTATTGTGAGGGTGGTGAGACAGTGGAACAGGTTGCCCAGTGAGGTTGTGAATGTCCCCTTCCTGGAAGTATTCAAGGCCAGGCTGGATGGGGCTCTGAGCAACCTGGTCTAGTGAGAGGTGTCCCTGCCTGTAGCAGGGGTGTCAGAACCAGATGATCTTGAGGCTCTCTTCCAACTCAAAAAACTATGATTCTATAATATTATTGCTATGCAAGGAACACCACTAAAACTATTACTGATAAAAAAAGGATAGTACAGTATTAAGATTCCACACAGACTTCCTGTATCCTCTCTTCTTATATAAAATCTACACATATAAAACCACATCTTACCTTGTTTCCTTGAATGCCTTTCAGGCCTGGCTCACCTGGAGGTCCACTGATGCCCTACACAAAAGTCAAAGAATAGAATGAGTTTTCATTGGAGGTGCATATAATGTTTCTCTTCAGTTTGGTCTGAACTGCATACAGTAAAATGTAGCATAATGCAAAGCTCTGAAGGACAAGCAACTTCTGCCTCATATCCTGTGAAGTGCCCAGCATACCAATACCATACTCTTAATATTCAGTAAGCAGTGCTGGCAGAAAAGGTATTTTACTACCCCATATAAATTTCATCTTTTTTATCTAAAGCTTTCCTTTTGTCTCCTGTTCCTGACTCAGATCTGAATAGTTTTCATATTATTTCTTCTGCCCAAGAAAATAAAATAAGCCACCACTCCCCACACTTTAGCTCTGTTTGTAAAAATCAATTATTCTAAATCACTCTCTAGCTGATGAGCTGAGATTAATTTTAATTCCCTGACATTACTATAACTGTTGTTGACATTACTATAGCTGTTGTGTCCCCTCACACAATGAAATTGTTAATGGCTCTGTAGGAGCAATGACACATGAGCAGGCCACTCTGAGACAGGTTAGAAACTTACAGAAAATAATGTTTTTTCTTCTATTTGGTATCTTTTACTTCCCTTACCTGAGGTCCCCGAGGTCCTCTAGGGCCAAAAGGACCTTCCAAACCCTATGGAAGGAGAAATTTCCATTATCATATTAAGAAGAAATTGCGATTACCAACTTCAAAACAAACTACAGCATATCTCCGTTCAAGTATTTTCTAGTAAGTCTGTTCATTCTTCACAGTACTGCTGTTTTCCTTCTGTACTCAGTAACAATTCAATTTTCAATATATGGCTAAAATACTTCTCTTTCACAACAAACACTGTGGATGGCTACTTAATATCATGAATGACTATTTGGTTAACTGGTTGTTCTTTGCCATAGGTCCTGAAATTCAAGTTCAAGTCATATATCAGATACGGAATTCTTAGAAAACATTATGGTGCTAATACCAGAATAACTTCAGCTAATTAGTCTCAGTAGCTCAAACTGTAGGAAGGTAGAATCACACTAATAGTTTGCAAAAATCATGTTAAGATGCCATATTTTATTATTCCATTAGCTCTTATTTCTCCATGGAAAGAGTCCTTATCAGAAACTGCTAGTGCAGATTGCTCACAAATCTTTCACAAATTCTTTGCAGTTCAAAAATCCATTTTGCAATACTGAAGTTATTCTTTGCCATATCTGGTCTGTTTCTGATGATTTTGTTCAGCAGAGATTACTTTCATTAAAAAAAATATATAATAATTTACCTTTCAGAATGTGAAGCTGGGAATCATGGAAATGGAAATTTACTCCACTAAATACATGAATTCTTGATCCTCTACAGATGTCAAATTTCCTTTCATCACTGTCCTCAACAGAAACGAATCAAGAACATTTCCAGCAACACTGACATATGGTTTCTACATCTATTTGGCTGATTCGATTATGTTCTATGCCAGCTTCTCGACAACTTCCTTTGATTTTAGTAGACACTTCACATAACCTCACGCTATTTCTTACATATTGCATAGATAAAGAAGCTAAGAAGTAATGACTTCTTTTTATTCCTCAGAGAGATGCCACTCTTTCACATTCTTTAATGGTATTTCAGTCTTTTCTGGCTCAGTTGCTGGCAGTTTCTTAAAAGATACACATGATCTTTTATTTTTTATTTTAATACTCCTTTTTATTTGTGACAAATACTTCTGCATTAAATATTTCCTACTTTCTGTACCTGTAATTCATCACTACAGAGCAGATGACTGAAATCACAAACATTTCAATTTGATCTTTGACAGAGATAAGCATAATGCAGATGTTAAATTGAAGAAATGTTTTGACTGAATGATCACCTGTACTGTAGCTGGTATCTAATCATAAATGAGCAGTTTACATGAGCCCAACATATATAATTATCTCTACCAGGACTGCACTGTCCTTTCATCTTTCAGATTATAAAATCCAGATGAAAACCACATACAACTGTATGACTTTTACACTTCAGATTAAAAGAAGAGGAACAGATAGATGTGTGAGTACATATCAGCACAGATGGGCTGGCGGATGTCTTCTTTAAGCTGTTAAGGTTGTATAAGAACCTGTTTCCACTGTAATATAACTTCATATATTTGAGTTAGAATGTATATTTTAGAAAATTCTGATTAATCCTGTTACAACACCACAGTCTTTTGTAAACAGCACCTGGCATCAGTTAGGATAGCCTTCAAATTGAGTATTCAATTACTTTTCTTCTGCAAAATGGAAAAAAGAATAAAGTGAACTGGGTGTTTGTTTCTATGAACAATATTTTTACAGCAAATAAATATCTAATACCAGAGAATTAAAAGAGGTTCAATTTTTACAGTAATCTGTACAAGCTTTTTTACAAATAGGCCCTGTATTTTTCAGTGTGCAACAGTTGAAATAAAAACTGTACTTACTCTTTCCCCTTTTACTCCTGGGGATCCACATTCTCCTCTTTCACCCTTTATAAGAAATCAATATGTTAAGATCTAAACAAGATGTCTTAATTACATTAGATGCACTTAAAACTGTGCAAGCAGTGCAATAGCAGAAGAGGCTCAGCAGATTTTGAGGACCTGAGAGCTGCAGCATTAGGCACGATCTGCAGAAGATATGGTGGGCCCTACTCAGGATGCACACTTTTTGTCTCTGAAAACACCTACAAAACATCCAACCTGCATAGTAAGAGGATAACATATTTAATATCTAACAAGTTTTGCCATATTTTTCCACTTTGCTGTGCTGCCTCCAAAGATCCTGTTTCTCTCTATATTCCAGTTTCACTATTGTGATGTCCACTATTTTCCGGAGTAATAATTGTGAGATTGTATAAACAAAATGAAGAATTACTAGAGAAAATTGGATAATCTCTGTTTCTTTCTTGGCCAAGTTAGTCTATTTCAGCTCTAGAATCTGACAAGATCCTGAATAAATTTTTTTTTTCTTTTTTTTTTCCCCTCTCTGTTTGAAGAGCCTACCTTGGGATTTGTTTTGGGCGAGCACTAACTTTGTCAAATAATAGTTTAAGTCAGCTTCCTTCTGTCAAGTTTTTTAAAAGCCAATTAATTACAAATCTACTTGTGTTTGCAACAAATAATTTCAAATTCTTTCTAACCTGTATTCAGCACTCACCTTTCTTCTTTCCAGCAGCTTTTTCACTGGTCTTTGGCATTTTAAAAAAATATTTAGATTATATTTTTTATCTTGTACTTTTTTGTTTTTTATTCCAGCAAACAAGTTTGCCAACTCACATAAATTACGTACATTTTTGCTTTACTTTCAGGGATTGCTCTGGGAGCTCTCATGACAAACAGGCAAGACAGGCTCTTCTTTCCATTCTTTCACTCATCCACGAGTGATAATTTATTTTTACAGCTCATCCATTCTATAAAAATCTTACCTTCTCACCCTTATAGCCAGGAGCTCCCTGTTTGAAAACAAACAAAGAAAAAAAGAAAGAAAGGAAAAGGGAGGGGAGGATCATAAAAGAAAATGCAAAGGCAAACACGCTGTTAATTTGTACAGGAAACAAAACCAGTAGCTAATTATGATTAAGAAGTTTAACTATTCATTAAAATAAAACATTTCTCTGGTATCATTTAATTTGTAATTATCTCCAAATTTAGAAATGTGTATTATGTGGTTATGACATTGCTGTAAATATGTCAATCAGATTGCCTGACTTTTAGCAGATATACACTATGTTTAAACAAGATTTTTAAATTGAATTGATCTTATGTGTGGAGTAATGTTAATTTTTCTACTTGGAATGAACAAGAATTCAAGCTAAGAAATACCAGATTTCAGAAGTCATTGTAGAACTAATTAGATGTTGTTAGCGATGACATTTTCAACTCTGTCTTCTCAGAAGTACAATGCAGGTCAATACAAAATCATGTAGCCTCAAAAGTTTGTTTTGTCAGTGGCAATCCCAACCCTACACTTAAGCACATGAGTAGAATTAAGCAATTTTTAATGTGTTCATCTCAGCACAGATGCTTCTCTAAGCCAGAGTCAAGCTTAGGTGCTCTAAATAATTAAATAAATTGGATTTGTGAAAAAATGGAAAAGGTATTTTCAATTCAGTGAAAATAAACTTGGATACCCTTAGGATCTGGAAGATAATCTGAAAAAAACCCAAATATGAGTTAGCTCTGTAGTACTCACATACCTCTTCACCTTTTTCTCCATGGTCTCCTTTTTGAGAGTCACCCTGTTGGAAGCAAAGAAACATAACTGAAATCGGCATTGTTCTTTTATTTCTTACTACTACAGTAGAACCTAGAACACTATTCAAGGACTAAAAACTGCCTTTTCTATTTAGAAATATCAGCACTTCCTCACACAATTATGAGCACAATATTCTAGCAGTTTTAACATGGTCTTCTTTTAACAGCTGACTATTAAAGCAGCTAACTGTAAATGTCTCATAGCAAAAGTCAGTTTTTAAACCACACTTTACCATATCTCCTTTGCTATTTTTACCTCTATAGTCTGGACAAAAATAGATAGAAATGTGCCTATATTTTTTAAAAACTCTCTCAACCTTGTTTCCTTTTGGTCCTGGTTCACCTCTTTCCCCTTTGTATCCAGCATCACCCTGAAATAAAGCAGGAGAATGTTATTACAATGGTCAGGATAAAATTTCCAGTTCCTTGGAGGCTACAGATTTGGTGCTGGCAAAATTATTTTGGAATAAGCTAAGGGATAAATTCACACAGAATCAGGTATGGCACACGTGGCACAACTTCCATACGTTTAGAATCATAGAATATTCCAAGTTGGAAGGAATCCATAAGGATCATCTAGTCCAACTCCTGGCTCCACAGAGGACCACAAAAAAAATAAATAAAAAATCAAACTCTATGCCTGAGAGCACTGTCCAAATGCTTTTGAACTCTGGTTCTTGGGACCATGCCCACCACCCTCTGGTGCAGATCCTTTCCCCGACCCCCTGCTGCCCCTCACACAGCTCCATGCCGTACCCTCGGGCCCTGCTGCTGTCACACAGAGCAGAGCTCAGCGCTGCCCTTTCCCTCCCTTGAGGAGCTGCAGCAGCCACGAGGGCTCCCCTCAGCTCCTCTTCTCCGGGCTCAGCAAAAACCAAGTGAACTCAGTCACTTCTCATATGTCTTCCTCTCTAAACCCTTCACCATCTTTGTACCCCTCCTTTGGACATTCTCCAATAGTTTCACAGCCTTTTTGTGCTTTGGTGCCCTAAACTTCACACAGTACTTGATGTGAGGCCACAGTGTAGCAGAGAGCAGGATGATCACTTTCCTTACCCGGTGGCAGTGCTGGACCTGATACCCCCCAGGGTATGGTTGGCCCTTTTGGCTGCCAGGGCACACAGCTGGCTGACATACAACTTGCTGTTAAACAAGACCCCAGATTCCTTTCTCTGGGGCTGTTGTCCAGTGTCTCATCCCCTGTCTACATAGCAAGGGCTGCCCCATCCTAGGTGCAAAATTTGGCACTTGCTCTTGTTAGTCTTTGGGTGGTTGGTGATTGCCCAGCTCTTTAATTATCCTGGATCTCACTGTAAGGCCTTCCCACCCTCGACAGAGTTAGTATCATTGTCAAACTTGTTCAGAACAACTTCTAGTCCTACATCCAAGTCATTTACAAAAACATTAAAGAGAAGTGGCCCTAAAATGAAGCCCTTAAGTGTTTGATCAGTTGCTCATTGTGTAGGGAGAAAGGCAAAACCCTTCATATGTACCTTGTCTGTCTCTGGGAGAGCTATTAAAGGTACAAAAACGTTCAGAGGTCACACACTCTGTTCTTTGCCTAGGCCAAGAAGCTGTTATGTTCTGAAGTGTTACAAGAGAGTGGTAGAGGAAGAGTTTTAGAACTTTCTTCACATAAGCCAGCATTTTCTGGTAGAAATAAATCTTTGTCTAACAGACCTTTGCTTCCATATTGCAGGTTTCTAGGATAACTTTTTGAGTTTGAAAATAATGCACCTTTTTAACCGTGGTGTTTATCTAGTAATATAAAGATATGTCCATGACAGCATGTGAGTACAGACATTTTTTTGTTTGAGCTCTGAAAATGGCAGCAGCCTTTCCAGAGATGTCAGTGACATACTATGATACCCTGCTTCTGTTTTACCATGTATGCACAGAAAATACCTTGATTTATAAACACACGAACCAATTATAATACAGTGCAACATTGATCACAATGATTAAAATGCAAATTCTCAAAGTTTTTCACATGAATGCATACTTACAGGATCACCTTTGTCTCCTTTTATTCCCATTTCACAGACACAGTTCTTCTGCATACACTAAAGGGTTATTAGAAACATTATGTAAACATTTTCAAATGTGTTATTTCAGATTTCTTAAGTAAAAACTCTGCTTTTGCCTGCTGACATGAGAAAACATTAGAAAACATAAAATACATGATATATTAATAAATATTTCTTTTAGAATCAACATTACAGTTCAGTATAGCCTAACCAAAATCAGTTGTTTGAATTCCAGACTTCATTTATAACACAATCAGTTACTGATGTAATTACAGATACTTAAAGCTGCATATACACACTGTAAAGTACTGTGAAACTTTATATGTTTTTTGGGTAATTCTGACATTGCTGTTGTTTTTAGTGAGACAACTAATGAACTTTCACATATTGTAGTGTTTCTATTGTGATTCAGAAGGAAAAGTTTTGTATGCTACCAATACTACCAAATGGAAGTCGAAGATTTATCAGGAACAGGGTGGGAGAAGTTATACACAGGAAAGGAGGGGTGATTCATTCTGCAACACTGCTGCTTTACAAGAGAAACAGATATCAGGAGGACAAGATACCATCTAGTATTAATAAGAGTAACCAAGAGTAAGAGGAGTAAAACTCAAAAAAAACCTACTTTCTTCCGAAGTAAGGCTTCCTGTAGGAAAAACAAAACAAAACAAAATGTATTATTTCTGCATAGAACTCATTTAACAGTGTACTAATTTAACTATTTTCCCTCTCTGGTTTACAGAATTCCCAAGGTAAATGAAAAAGAATATAAACACCTTCACCTGTCACCATTGGTAAGAACACTAGTCTATGAAACTAGTCACATTGAAATGATTCTTCATTATGAGTAGGGGGGGGTGCTCCACATGCCCTATAATGACCAGAAAGTAACTAGACAGGTAAAGAGACAATATTAAAAATCAAAGGTAAAAAGGGGAATATGAAAGATTAAGGAAAGGCCTTACTGTGGAAGCTTTTGCTAAAATAATACATAGAGGAAGGTCTCAATGTTTTATCAGTGTTATGCACGATAGCACCAGTAAACTGTTAAAGTTTTACCATATGCTCAGAGACACACTGCTTGTGCTGGGGAATACCCTGTCCCTTCACTGCTGTGCTATCGTTATTCAAGCACACAAATCCTTGGAAAGTGGCTGGAAAGAAGCAGCCAACTTGATCCTGACTCTTGGTTTACCACAGAGACATGAACTACAAAAATACTCCTTCCAACAGCACCATTCCCTGAGATCTCTTCGATGAATTTTTGATTTGCAAACACATCAATTCATAGGGGCAAAATATATACCTGTAAAGGGAGGAATATTTTAGAAGTGTCTTTTGTACTTCACTGCAAATCTCTGCACTGCCTTCAGGACTAACTTGACAAAGTTAAAGGAAATTGGCCATGGATAGATGTGGGACCATATTACATCAGCATTACTCACCAATTCCAATGCTACATCAACTATCAGGTTTTCATCATCCAGGCATAAGACACGTTTAAAGGATGAATCACCAGATATCAAGCGCAATTTTTCTTCCTTTACATTTTTCTTGGAAAGGCCGATGGTAAAAAAGTGTATTCCAAGACTCCTTGCAGCAGTGGCTATACCCTGGACATCTGGGCTGTTTGGATGATCCACACCATCAGTCATCAGAAAAGCCACTTTTATACTTCTCTCCCGACCTTCATTTTTGAACAGCCGAGTGGCGTTGGAAATCGCATAATAGGAGTAGGTGCCCTGGCCAATGTAGACCAGAGCCCTGATTTTCTCTTTAAAATTCTGCACATTTTTCCATGCAATAAAAGGATGATCAATGTTGACTGTGCTGCTGAACTGCATGCCTGCTAGTTTGACGTTGTACTTCTGAGATTTAACTGGCTTCATCTGGAAAATGTTGTCAGTTAAGCTTAGAACAAAATTCTTCTGTAAACCAAACAACTGATTTTTGGCACTCTCTGAACTGTCCACGATAAAGACTATGTCAACGAGACACAAATCACCTGCAGGGGAACAAGGAAGTTAAATCTATGAATGATGGGCACATCTGCATTACAGACTCTCTGCAACAATCCCAATCTTCAAACCATTCTCCCAAAATTCCTGTCTTTTCAGTATTGTTCTGAAGAGAATTTCATTGTGAATGGCAATAAATTCTATTAAAGTCCAGTATTTAAATTTAATTTACTTTTATTTATATCAGAATTATTAAAGACAATCTGCAGACAAGCACTTTCAAAGTAAGTTCTTAATGGGATTGGTTCAGAATTTTAACTGGTTTTGCACACAAAGTACAAATTTTCCACGTGCAATTTCAAAATGAAAAATAGGTGCCTTATCATTTAAAAGAGAAACATGTGTCAATTGAAATAATCGGGCAAATTGTAATGCCTAGCCAAGAAAATGCAGGATGCAGCTCAGCATCTGTGGTTATCAGTAATCAAAATAAATTACATTTATGAATGTATTCATATTTATTCTTAAACATGAGGACACATGCAGTATGGTCAACTCAGATATTTAGGAAAAGGTTTCACCTTCATCACTTTGCACAACAGAATAAGACTTTTTCCCTTTCTTTTTATCTTGTCCTTCTGCTATCTGGTTTGTTGCCACAGCCAGAAGTAGAAAGCAAAAGAAAGAATGTTTTTTCCTCATAATGACGTTTATCCCAAATTAGATGACTTTTGCTTCCTGTTAAAAGAAAAAAATAATCTGTGAACACTTCATGAGTAAATACAAATAAACTAGCACACATATTTACAGACAGAATACACGTTTGTGGGAAGCACAATTCTAGAGGCAACTTCTTAAAAACACTTATAAAAAGTAATCACGTATGTGATTTAAGCATAGCAGCCAGTGCAATCCCAACTGGAGCTCCAGTTTATATTAGAATGTGTTCTGTTAGAGGAGATTTATGGGTAGAACACAGTGCCCACTTTTCAGTTTTAAAAACATCAGTGCTATCTTTAACTTCCAGTTGATATTACAACAAAGTAAGGTAAAAGAAATTGCCATTAATTAATGTTGCTGTCAACATATTTTGCTATTAATATATTTGTATTAAAATAGCAGAGATATTATGGAAAATAAAAATACAAATAATTTCTAGAAATGTTTAATTGTTAGGAATAAATAGATCTAAGCACTTTAGGATACAAATATATTACCCACAGCTGGAGAATTAGCATGAATGACTTATAAAAAAACCAATGGCTTAGCAGTGAAATTCAGTACATGAGTGTGTCATTAATGTACATTATTATAACAGAATGTGTGCAATGTTGTCTGAAAAAACAGTAATCTATTATGACAGCATACACTAAAAAAGTGAATACTGCAATATTTAAGATAGTGACTTAACATAGTTCTAGAGAAAACTGTACTCCATTAAAAATCAATTTTTAAAAGCCTTTAATTCACAGTAATTTGAAACACCATTAATAATGGTAACCAATAATATCTCAAATTTAACTATTCTTCCTAAGCACTACCTTCCATTCCATCAAGCAGTTACATCTTTAGAATCTATCAGTGTCATTCTCTACAGGTACAAAAGTCTCTTACCTTCAAAGGTATTCAAAGGGCAAACTGGGGATAGAATGAGCTGTCAGCATAGAAAACGTCCAGTAGGTTTACACAGTATGGAAAAACAAAGAAAACTGCAAATAAATAGCCCATCCACTTGTAAACGACTCTATCTTGCCTCAAGATCTTTTATGGTCCATTATTCCTGGTCAGTTGGCCAAAATTTAAATGAAAACACTCAGGCATTTTGCCAGTGCTGAGTGGGAGACCAAGTCACTCTGTTAAAGGGACAGAGTCAGCCCAGGAGCACGAATACTTTCCGTTTTTACACAGCTGAACTTTCAGCTAAAACACTTGCTCCTAAACAATTTACATCCTTACCTATCAACCCTGTCAGCCACACTTCTTTAGCTTCTCCAAGCAGCAGTGGCTACACAAGAGATGTGACATTAGCATAGCATCCCTTACAGCCTGAGCTCAGGCTTGAAGAGGAGAACTTGGGTGCACTGCAGTAAAGAGAAATACTGGGAGGACTGAAGTTACCACTGAGTGTCTGGGAGTAAAGAGGATGTACAACCCAAAGGAAGGTAGCATTTGTTTCATTGTTTCACAAACAAATCGCAAGGCACATATAAATCTGGATGCAATATTATTTTCTCCTTGAAAGAAAATAATTGTGATCAGGGAGGGAAAGAAATAATAAGTTCCAGAGAATTCGAAAATTCAGATTACCTTCAGATTCTGCACTATGAATGCATTTAAATGCCTAAAAGGCCAAAATAGGAGGCATTACTTATAGAGCTGCCCTTGTACATTTTAAATTGGCAAATGTATATACAGATGACAAGTTCTAAATCCCTTTGGGCATAACTTTCACACAAAACAGCTTTAACCTCTTTGAAAACATAGGCACTTAATCCCTAGTGTGCCATAGCAGCTCACTGTATCCACTGCAGCTACTGACCTTTTGCACTCCACCTCTCAGAGCTCCCTTACCAGGGCAGATAACCCCTCCAGATTGAAATAGGGGATAATAAGACTTTGGTCAATAAACTTCACATTATCGTTCATGATCTGAGAGAATGTGGATACTGTCTGATATTTGAGTTACAGCGACTCAAATGGCACAGTAAAGAAACAGAAAGAGGTGACAAAGACAAGAGAGATTCTAGATGAAGGGAGATAAGAAAGTGACAATTCTTTCACTTGGATAGCCACATCTGAATGTGAGTATGATACAGATCTACAAAAGCAAGAAAAAAGGTGAATACTGTATAGCACAAGAATATAATATGTCAAAAGATGTTTTGGTTCTGCTTGATCAATGATATCAACCAGATTTGAATGCCCTAAATTTTCATTTTTTTCCCCCCAGTATGTCCTTCACACAGTAAGAATGACAACATTCCCTTGAATACACTGTAGATTTTTATATCCTGTTAGGAAACAGAGCAATTTGATGCAATTTGAAGTACACACTTTAAGCCTAATGCCTGAGGTATATTTAGTCAGTGACATTCTTATTCATGCTTCATGTAACATATAGTCTTCAAAAATAAGACTGCAATATACCAAGCAAATGATCATTTAGCTGCTGAGTTAAATTGTGTGTAACATATAAAATAAAGAGGTATTATTTATGCTGTCTAAATTCTGCCCTCTGGTGTATCTACATGATTATGCACTGCAATAAGTTTGGGCGTCTTATTCAGCCTTGAATCAGGACACAATTAGCAAACAAAATTACTGTAAAACACAAGGTCCATATGTACGAAATAACATAAGCCTATGGTATAAGAGTATAACACACATTCCTTTGTAATAGAAAGTGAAAGCTGAAGACTAAGATAGTAAAAGACTGAGATGCTGGGCTTCATGAGAGAAAATATCTCTTGGAATAACTGATTGCACTCCTTCGTCCCTGTCTGATCTGGATAAACTAAATACTCATTTCAGATATTCTTCTTTTAGATACCCAGACAGGGAGCCTCAGGACCTGATGTTCTGTTCCCTACAAAGTCAACGGTTGCTCAAAGCGACCAGTGGATGCATCAGCAAATTAATACAACCTACTGAAGGACTTCCTTCAGAGCTTGGAGTTTTCAGGGAATTGAAATGACAACCTAATTGTGACACTCTGGAATACACGTGAACAACCTGTTCTTCAAATTACTGCATTAAAGAAACCTGTTCATTTATGTTCTCTGTGTAATGCTCCAATATCAACATTTGCAGCGACTCGACTTTCTACCACCTCTCCCTGCTCACATTCTCATGGCCACCACATAAAAGGCAACAACTACCAATTACACTGCAATTCAGTAGTGTGCTTATACTGTCATGAGATCTCAAGAAGTGATCAAGATGTCAGATATTTAAGCTCCTCATTCCCACATATCTAAAGAACTTCCTCTTAAAATCAAAGCTAGATAATGCAACTATAGGTGGTTACTGAAAACAGATGGGAACAAGTCAGTATGTCTGACTTCAACAGTACCAAAGGAAGTAGATTACTGAAGAATGAATAGGCAGTGAAATAAGCACAAAAATACAGGCTGCCAATGTTGCTTTGATATATGATATACTACCCTAATTGAATTACTCTTACTTTTTCCATAAATTTTAGCCTGCTTTATTTATCAAAACCATTACTAAGTTCCTAAAGATGACCATTATTACAGAAAAAGGAGCTGTGTTTCCATGCAAGATGTGATTTCTACTTCCAAAAATGAAATTTGGCCTTTTTAAAGTACAGCTCAGTAGCTAAGTCAATAGCTGGAATCATAATTTAGCTTGGAATGCCACCTTGTGCAAATACAAAAATCTATGAATCACATCAGTTTTAGTTTCAAAACTTAGGAAATTGAATTTGATGTTTTAGAAAATGAGCATATTTATTAAAATCGTAGTTTGAAAGATTCAGATAGAAACATACTGCAACCAGTTCCTTAGGCTCATGATTCCCTGTGGTGGGGAGTCCTAGAGGACCACGAAGACCAGGAGAGCAAGGCTCTCCCTGAAGATATAAAAACAATTAAGAGAGTGCTATTGTGGGTGAGGGGTTTTGAGGTTAAAAGCATTATTTTAAAAAGAAATTCTTCACTGTTCGTATTTTGGAGAAGTATACTTTGGAAGGTACATTGCTTGAGCAGAAAAAAGAAGGTAAAATAAGGAAGTACAGGCTTTAGTTCATATGCAATTCTGTATGTTCAAACTGTAATCCCTTGAATAATGTAATCCTATTATAAACAACTCCAACTGTAATGGGGAAAATGTCTTGGAAAGAGGGAAGTTAGAGAAACTAATTCCAATTCTGTTTCAGAGAAAGGAGTCTTATTGTTTACACATGAATTCAAAGTCTGACATACCTAATCTTTGTCCAGTATTTTGGCCAAAACTCTCTTAACTTGGTCCATACTTGCAGTTTCCAGGCTCCTGTATCAATTTTTGTGCCTGTACCTTCTCACCTTCTTCAATTTTTCATGGTCTATCTCTAAACAGCCTTGGCCTCCTGTCAGCCATTCTGGGAGGTGCCCCACTGCCCCTGACAGGTCTGCTAAACTCAGCAGGGTGCACCTCTCCTATTCATGGTAGCCAGAGACCCCTGAAAGGTGATGGCTCCTGAATGAGCCCCCAGACTGTGAGAAATAACTCAAATGATTTTTCAGAGACCGGATCTCTTGTGAAGAAGTTTTAACTTGTGATTGCAATGGCAGACATCCAGCAAGCAGGAGCACACAACCACAAAAAAAAAAATAAAATCACAGCCTTATATCCCCTACTGACTGACACCAAGAATTCCTCCCATTTCCTTGTTGATTGAATACTCCAGGTTCACAATCTACCCAACACTTGCTGTTGTATTTACAGCTTGATCCCATCAACCTTGGACCTCTCTCTCATTCTTGCCTCATAAACTATTACCTCTTGCTTATGGTGTTTGTGCCATCCATTTCCCTAATCTTGACAGCTGAGCCTCTCACTATCTGCTCATCTGTTTGTCTAAGAGTACCCTAGCTTGTATATGAGGTTGGGAAAAAACCCCACAATTTTAACTTTCACAGCTCCAAGGACACACTGCTGGCTCATACCCCACTGCCTTGCCTATTATTTTCAGTAGGGCTCCGCTCTATCCTAACATCCCTCAGACTGTACTGATAGTGCAGGTTGCCACAGCACAGGTGTAAGATTTGCACTGGGATTTGATGAACATCATGATGTTCATCTGGGCCTGCTGCTCAGCCTGTTTCGGTCTCTGAATGACATCCCATCCATGGGGCACATCAGCTGTACCACACAGCTTGGTGTTGACAGGAAACAGTGAACAGTTTATTCAGATAATAACACCTTCTCACAGTGGGTATAAACTGAAGGACAGAATGCTTGTGTAAATGAAAGCTCAAGAACAAGAATGTGGGAGCTGAAGGAATTTGGTGTCAAGTAAAGATAAGAAAGCAGAAAGATAAGACATCAAAACAGATGCCTCAGCTCAGCGCAACACTGTTGGTTTACCTCTCATTAAAAGTTAGAAGTTGACAGTGAGGATGACTACTAGCCTTCATTCAAAGACCACGAGATGGAGCTCAGAGACGCTCTACATTTTAGGACGCGTGCTCGGGGAAGTTGGACAGGATTTACTCACATGTTGCCGTCACTGAGATACTCAGAAAACAGAGCTACTGCAGCCCGCCCCAGCAGCAGAGGCGCGCAGCGCACCCACCTCCAGTAGGGGCGGGGCGCTGTGGTGCCGCTGCGTGACGTCACCACGCCAATCACCAGAACACTCCCAACACGGAAGTGAGAGCGCGCTCTCGACTACCGGAAGGAGCTGTGCGGAAGGGCGTTCATCGCGCGCCGGAAGTGCAGTTGTTGTCCTTTCCCCGCCGCCCCGCAGCCGGGAGCGGAGCCCTGCTGTCGTTTGTCCCCGCCGCCGGAGGCTCCGGCTGGCCGCGGGTCGCGCCACGGCGGTGTCGCAGCGTTCGAGGGTGGGTGAGCGGCCGCCGCGCCCGGGGACGGGTGGGGGTTGGCTGCTGCTCTTGCTACGGGCTGGCCCTGCTGCCGCGACGTCTCTGCGGGCCTCGGCGGCTTCCTCGTTCCCGCAGAGCGGGGCGGCGGTGAGGCGGGCCGGACTCCGGACCGAGTAGGGGCTGGGCTGAGGCGGGAGGAGGGGAGCGCTGGGAGCCGACAGCGGGTGTGGAGAGGAGGCCCGGTGGCAGCAAGTGATGCTTCTTTCTGCCTTTTCCCAATACGGTAAATCTTTTGTTTTTCCCAGCGGTAAGAAAAATTTGTAGGAATCACAAGGTCGTTTCCTGTAGGAGCGTGTAAGGATTCTGGACGTGGGGCTC